TACAGAGAAGAACTTGCTTTCTTTCTTTTTTTTTTTTTAGAACAATTGCTGCAGTAATTTTACGCTACGCGGAGGAAAGATAATTCCCCCGTTGTCATAGAAATAAACATCCGCTGAAGAGTGTTTCCTACGCGGGGGGGAAAAATCGGTGAATGCTTCTTTGGGGTGACGAATCGCGTTGGGGATAGTGTGACACGCACGTTTCTGTGCATATGCAGAAGGGGGGGGAGGGAAGAAGCCGTTTCGGCGGGAGCAAACCGGGCAACAATTTTTGCACTGTTTCTAACTTTCGCATGATCGTCCACGGACGTTACAGTGGTTTTTCCCTTTGCCACACGTAGCTTGAGGCGGGTGCATGTTTCAGTAGCGCGCCAGAAAGGTGACGGGGCCCCACTCCTCGCCCCGAGCCTTAAGCCCCAGACGATCGGAACGAGATCCCCCAAGGGGGCACACACCTCCCCAAGAGGAGAAAAAGAAAAAAAAAAAAAGAAAAAAAAGCACTAGTGTGATGATAGGAACGGAGAAATAATAACAAGACGCGGTACCCCTCCATCCCCGTTCTTCTTTCCAAATTTACAGACGAAGCAGTCCCTTTTTGCACGCGTCCCGTGGGGGCATGCTCCTATTTCGGCTTCACCTCCCCTAGTGGTGCACCTGTTTGGCTGTCCCGGGGGACTCAGCTAGCTATTCTGCCGCGACGATCGACACGCTACCGCAAGATTCGCGACCACCGCAACGACCAAGACCACCACGACACTGCTAACCTGCACGCTGCTACCCCCGAGATGAAGGACGCGAAGGGCGGACACCGAATCTACGTGGGAAACATCCCAGCGTCGATGAGCAAGCAGGAAATAATCAAGACATTTGAAGAATTCGGGAAAATCACAGAAATCGACATCAAATATAATAGAAACACCAACGGATCGAACTACGCCTTCATAGAATATGAGACTTATCGAAGTGCAGAAAAAACAATCGAGAAAAGAAACGGACAAAAGTTGAAAGGATATATGCTAAAGGTTGAACATAGCATTTACAAAAAAAATAAGGAGGGAGATCTTATTTCTCCTGGCAAAGAAGGAATGTCAAAAGGATTCATAACGAACCTTCGGTTGCCAAAGAACAGATCACATTACCGAGTTGTCGTGAAGAATCTCCCCAAGAGAAAAATCAAATTGAACTATGTGAAGGCCTTTCTAATGAAGGCAGGAAAAGTTATCTACACACAGTTAGGGGATGAAATTACCATCGCAGAGTATGACAGCAGGGAAGGGATGTTACGGGCGATTAACACTTTGGATCGAACCTTGTACAATTCTAGCAGGAAGGTCTACGTGAGGGTTATTAAAGACCTCCCTTTTGACGACTTATATGTGGATGACTCCATCGCGCAGGTGTTCGGTTAGGCACACTGTCTTCAGGGGAGGAGTACCCTTTGGTTGAAAACTCCCCGTGGAAGTTCACCCCCTGGATGGGAAGACAAGTGAACCCAGAAGGGAGAAAAGAAGAAAAGAAAATAATAAAATGAATTAATAAAATAAAAAAATAAAAATGGTGAAGAAGCGTCTTCCCACGTGGACCAAGCCGTTATGCTAAGAAGGCGTCCCCCTTTGAATGTTCAATCTTTGACTGCCAAGCTTGGAGCTTCCTTCCTCGTCATGTCGAGACGTCGTCGTGGGGTCACTTCCTCATGCAGACAAGACGCCATTTGGGCAGCCCCCCCTCCTCCCCCCTGTCTTTCCAATTTTGGCCCATATGTCTCCTCCCCCCAAGTGACAATTCCATTCACCTACGTTGAAGCGTCTGAATGGTGCGTGCTACCACGTGGAGCTCGCGTCAACATCCCACCCTCGTTCTTTTTTTTTTTTAGTTATCTCTTTGTCGGTTCTATTTTCCGATTTGCACATTTGTCCTGCGCGAGCGCCACTCGTTTGAGCATGTGTACGCATACCAACTGCTACGGCTGCTACAATTTCTGCAACTTCCGCTTCGACACATTTTAAAGTTCCCTTTTTTTGTTTTAACATTGTGACGTCGAAAGAGGGCACCCATTTGGAGATGCCTTCTGTGCCAACTCTGCAATCAACCGTGAGGGGCTTGGCTTCCGGCTGGGGTTTAGTCCCTACATGGGAAACCCCTTCAACTCCACATCAGCTGCCGAGATGAACGACGGCAGAGATGGGGCAAATACGGCCATACACAGAAAGGAACCAGTCGCCAAACGGACATTTGCTTCTACACTACTGACGCAATCAGTCCTTTTCCATCATATGCCCCAGTGGGATATGGCAGGAAGAGCGATCATCAAGGGGTTGTTCTGACTGTCACGCCTTCCGACATCGCTACGCTGGGGAGGACATTTGATCAGGGCCGCTCTGCAGTTCCGTTCCTCCCCTCTTACACTTCTCATAAGAGACGAAGCAAATTAAAAAGGAATCAAAAGGAGAGCCACGGCGTGTCGTGGCGAGTAGCACCTACTGGTGGGTTCTACACCGACAGGTGGAAATTTCAAAGAAGGAAAAA